TATTTTTTTTTTTTCTTTAATATTATCTTTATCATTACTAAATTTTTTATTAATATTAAATATATAGTATTGAAATATTGTTATGAACTTAATTGAAAAAAAATGCAAGCAGGAAATTGTTTTACATATTGTACTTTAACTACTCTTGTATTTCTGCGTGTTGTGTGAATAAACGCAGATTTCCCGTGAAACGCGCAAGAAAGCAGCAATCAATTAATGATTCTAATCTACGTAACGTCGCGCTTATGCGAGTTTCTAGAACTATAAAAAAAAGATAGCTGTTGAAACACTCTATAACAAATTTATTGAACGTCTCGTCGTGTTTTTAGATTTTATTTCGTTAAAGATTTCGGAGATCGTTTCCCATTGCAATTAGAAAACACTTAATTGAGATAAAATGAAGTACCCGAGATCTTTGAAGTTTCGTTCACAGGCTGATCGATAGCAATAAATGACTGATTAATCTCGACGGTTCGGTTTCTTCTTTATTGCGACTCCCGTTTGCAATTATTGGACGTATTTTCTACGAAACTGACTTTTATTATACTCTTTAAACTTCAAAATGGATAAAACTAAATGAAGAAACTTTAATTGAACTTTACTTAAGAAGAAGGAATATATACGTGCTTATCCAATGAATTTAATTTTCATCGAATGAATTTAATATTCAATGAATTATTTTCGTGATTGTCAAAAGATACACGTAAAACTCGTATCTTGATTTATGTATAAATTACGATATCGACACAATGATACAATTTTGTGATAACGTTGCGACAATTTCCTAGTTTCAACATCTGTTCGCGTAATTATCAGTGTAATCTCGCTAGAGAAATATAATGATAGTAGCAAGGTGAATAGTCAGGTTAGTATCGTTCGTAATCAATGCTCTATCAATGTAAACAAGAGAATACTGTATATATCTAACCGAAACATTATCTATCTCTCGCCAGGTTTCATGACACGAGGAATTATTTTGAAGTACTTACTCGTAATTCTTAAAATTAAGTGATTTCGTTGGAGAAATTTTTCTGTAGCGAAGAAAAAGTAATTTCTCTGAAAATTGTCTTGGGAGAGATGTATCAATTTTTTAAAAGCTGAGTGTCTGGAATTGCATTTTAATACCGTTAATTTCAAAGTTTTTAACAACAATGTCGAAAAAAAGTCTTCACTGCTCAAACTTTCAGGCGATTGTTCGTCCCGCGGGATAACGTATTGATTTTCGAATAAAGTCAACCTGACGCCGTCCAACAGCCGCTGTAAATCTCGACTGAAAATTCAATGAAATAGTTTCGAAGGAGATATTTTTGTAACGCGGACGCTTTAACGCACAACGAAAATTCCATTTCGTATCTTCTTCTATACCCGAGAAATGCCGTTTCATTTGAAACGAAATACGCAACGCAACAGAGTGAGAACGTTAAAACGACAACGGAAATTAATTCACTCCGTACAATAAGCTCGTTTTCCAAAGCTTGTGCAACGGAAAATGCAAAAACATATATATATATAAAACATCATTCTCGCCTCTCTCTTTTATATATATAGAAATTTATACGAGGAGAAGAGAGAGAGGCGAGAATGATATTATTGGAGAAGCAGTTTACGCAACGCTGGCCTTCTAAATGATAAAGCAAGGAAAAGAAACGTTCGACAAAAGGGCACCCGGGAATCACCCCCGGGAATCCGTCCGAAGAAAGTAACTTCTTTACGAGGTCAGTGGATGGTATTTTCACTGATATTCCAGCGCGAGGAAGGGAGCAGCGTTCCTTTATCTCTCTCGAACTTGGAGAAGCGGTAGCGTATATAGGGAACAGGTCAGCCTGAGTTCCTGACATTTCCCCGGTAAACTAAATTGGGTCGCCCCGTAAATCCTCGGGAATACAGGTCAATGTAGATTCTTCCGAGTATTAGACAAAGAAAGGGTGCGTCGCGCAACTTTTGCGAACGTTGCAGCGAGTTAACGCGATCGAATTAATTTCCGTTCGTTCTCGCAGGCTTGATTTTAAATTAGGAAACATCTCGCATTTTGAAAGAGAAAGGGTACCACGCTCGTGTTATTGATTTTATCGCAAGGATACACTTGCGACTGAGGAGTCAGCTGTGTTTCGACATCTTGAAACTCGGCTAGCTTTGTAGAGGACAATGAAACTCGCGCAGTATGAGACAGTATTTTTAATGCGATGACAAGAGAAGAGACATAATGCTGCGTACTTCGAATTTGATGAGGCGAATAACTATTTCAGAAATGAAATAATATACATGCAATTGTAACTGAGAGTGTTAAAATTAGTTGGAGAAACATTTTATGTCTCGATGAAGAGAAATTACATCTTCGAGGAGAGCTATGACTCTAATTACACCATCGATACTTCACGTAATATAATAATCGCTGTTTATTGTATCACAAACGACAAAACGAATAATCTACTCTTAAACTGTTCTCTGCAATTCAAGAATTATCCGTGATCAAATCTGACGAATTAGCTTGACTCGAGTGACCCTTGCTCTCACTGTCTTGCACGCAAGTTTCCCGTCCTTTACAAATCAAGAAAACTAACACGGAGAACGAACATAAGCTGTCGCAAAACTACAGACGCGTCCGTCGGAGGAAAAAGAAAGGAGGAGGGGGGGGGGGGGGGAAAGAATCGGAACTCTCGATTCACGAACTCTCGGTTGGCGTAATGAACGCGTGCTTAAACGGGCGTTAAACGGGGCCATTTCGCCGGGAAGTGAAATGCACTTTTGAACATTACGGGAGCTTTAACGAAGAAGAACGCGGGTTGCTTCGTGTGTTTCCTCTTTAATGTGTCTACAGCTGAATAGAAGTGCAGGCGTCAAAGGGAAATTGCGCACACGAATCAGAAGACCGCCGCACAGAATGAAAGCACGTGGCTCTGTGCATAAGCTCGATGACACGGGCCATCCTCAGAAACACATGCCAGATTCCGGCCATGCAACGCCATACTCGATAGGGCGTGGCCCTCGGAATCGATACCATAAAAAGCTCACTGCAACTTCTTTATCATTAACGTATCGCGACTTTGCGTGCGCGCGTTTATTATATTAAGCGTTTCCACGAGTTTTATGCGGATAATCCTCGACTTCTGTGGGCGCTCGACCGATTACACCCTTCGCCACGCACACAATGATAGAATATATATGGACATAGCTAGTGCAATCGATGATCGAACTATGGAAAAATACAGTGACTCGTGATAGTATTTGACTGCTTTTTTGGAGGGAATTTGTTTGCATATATTAAGCGCGATACGATGAAAACTTGTGGATTTCTGGAATTCTTGGAACTTCTAGACTCTGCGAACTTTTATGTATAGTATTTACGGAAAATTGGGAGGTGCAATATTCGAAGTATAATATATTTCTTACAATACTTGGGTAATAATAGTTTTGTATCTAGTTTTAATTTTAATTATCTTTAATTTCGAGGTATTAATATTTTCGAATTCGTTTCAAGTCTTATCAACGTGATCACGATAGTCATGACATATGACTAAATCTGTATAATGTAGAAAAATTTTTAGAAATTTTCAAATATCTTCGATGAAGTACGCAAATACTTCGTAGGAAGATATTTGAAAAAAAAACGTGTGAAAAATGCTTGATATTTTAAACTTCACATTAGAATAATCACTTCTTTGATATTCATGAAGTGATTAAAGTTCACATCGATAAAAAAGTTAATCACTCAAATAATTAAGTACGAATGTACATGGCAAGATCGCACCTGTCTAATCGTTACAAATAAATACAAATTATTTAAGCGTCAATAATCGATTATTAGAAAGCAATTACAAATTCCATCATGATTATGCGATAACAGTTCTATCGCTCCGACACTTCTATCGTATGAACCAGATATGCATTCGTATATTATCAATTAACGAGAACTGATAAAGTTACAGAAGACTATAAAACGATGATAGTTGTTCTCGTGAACATTAATTTTATTTGGTTTAAACAACTGTAATTATCAAACTGTTTAAACTTCTAACGAGCATCGACGAACAAAGGAAAGTTTTGTTGCAAACAAAAATAAAATTCCTAACGAAACAGAGAGAAGAGAACAAAAAGTTTATTCGCGAAATGTTTGTACGATACTCTGAAAGGGACAAAAATCTACAAGACTGGCCATTCAGATCCACTGAAAGCATCAGCTTGGCACATTTTATATTCCGGTGTTGACGTAGCGAAATATTTGATGATACTTCGGCCTGTAGTGCGAATGAAAAGAGAACAAGCAACAAAAAACAACGCGTTTCGCGTCAGTGATTCTTTTCACGTTCAACTTTTGCGTATTCGACGGTCTCAGTGTTAACACACTCTCACCATTCTATGTTTAACCTAACAGTACGTCAATTTATCCGAGATAGTTAAAAATGTGATATCAGTAAGAAGAGGTTTCGCATTCGAGGAAATTAAAAATAAAGTGGGCAAATATAGAAAAAAAATATCGATCCAACATGAAATTTCCACCGCGCGATTTTCTACCGACCCCTGATTGAATTATCATTTTTTCTACTCCGATGATTATTTCCCCCTTACTGAACGTACACGTATTTAATTTAATTCTTCTAAATATAATCGTTAATCCCACAATTGCCATGATATTTTTCAAAAATATTTTCAAATCACAAGTCTTTGTTCATTTTAAATTGTTTCCGTTAGGAAAGATAAAAAACAGTAGAAAAGTCAACGATAAAGCGGAAACTCTGGCAACCAAATATTAGATAGAATTACGAAAACATAAGATACTTTTAAAAGCGAGTGATAACAGAGTACTCTGCATACTTTCTCATAGACAAAGATAATGTTTCCACTATGTGTTTCAAGGAACATCAGCGTGAAATAAATCTCGCTCGAGATGGTACACCTTCAGTGTCTTTGCGATTTGTTTGCACATACATCGAGAACGTCTCGATTGATTTAAGTGTAGTTGAGTAGACAAGGGATTAAGGGAGTTCTTTTCATGCACACAGCACGATGCCCTCAGATAGTATGGACGACATCGAACTGAAAAATATTCAGCTTCAATTTCCTCCGCTAAGATGTTTATCGAGAGATGACAGTTCCGTGCGAGAGGAAAGGATTGAAACTGACAAGGGGAGTCTGTTGGTGGCTGTACAAGGGAACCGAGCAAAACCTGCCATTCTCACTTATCACGACTTAGGCCTTAACTGTGAGTAATTTGTATTATTTTAATTCGTAAATTAAATTCCACCCGGTGTGAAGTATATTTTAATATCATCTCGTAGTTTCATGTTTCTTGTAACAGGCAGCAATAAATTTCCTACTTTGTTTGTTTAATACTCAACGTGTAATTGCATTTGTTTAACTATGCTGAGTTTCAAAATGAAAAATATATGCTGGTGTAAAATTTTCACCGAATAATATTGCACATTGAGAGCCATAACAATTTAGGATTTTAATATAGAATTTTTAATTGCATTTTACTACCAATTTATTTTATTACTGTTGTACGAGGGAAATAGGTGACTTCAAGTGAGTTCGGTCTCAACAGACGGTTGAGATTTTTAATTGCCTGTGACGTAATGGGAAACGTGGAAATCGTTATTTCCAGATATATCGAGCTTCCAGGCGTTCTTCAATTACATCGACATGAGAGTTTTACTCGAAAACTTCTGCGTTTATCATGTGAATGCACCGGGTCAAGAAGAAGGTGCACCCACGCTGCCTGAGGAGTAAGTACATTTTCTATCAAAACTTTTATTTGTTTCCGGCCACAATGAATTGACAATAATTGAATCAAAAGAAACGGATGTAGTCAATCAATTTCATTTATTTTAACTCTTCACACTCGAAATACTTTTAGATACTTTTCTGATTTCTCGGATCTTTTTAATTATTACTATAATTCTGATATTTCTAATTTTATCGATTTTGCAATTTAATAGTAAAAGAGATTGCTCCACTAATTGAAGATCCAATCAAATTTAGAAACGTGTTATAAATTCATTTGCTAATGTTTATAATGAAAAGAAACTTTCGTACTTTTGAATGCTTCCCTTTCTCTACATAATAAATACGAATTTAAATATCGGAGCTGTAATTGTTGCAATAACCTTTTCAATTTTCACACAATCTTTTATCGGCAAGCAGTTTCTACAAAATATCAATTTCTTTCTCCAAAAATATGACCGTATTGCGAGCAACCACATTTAAAGTCAATAAACGACCGGTGCCAATTGTCAACCAGATTCGTGCGCGGATTCTCTTGAAGTCCGAGTAACGAGTTCGCTAATTAACGCGCGGTAGGCTGTGGCGAAACGAAAAATAGAAAATGAGAAAAAAGGAAAACTAGGGGAAGCTGATTTCCCGACGATTTCTTACACGCGTGCGTCTAAGTCTCATTCAAGAACATCGTACACGCGCGCCACTTGACAACAGTGAATTCAATTAGTGCAAATCAATGACCTAATTAACGTTCTAATTAGTCGAAGCCCTGGCTATGTGCCTACTTTAGCGTGTACCGCGGATAATTCCTCCATGTCTTAAGAGCGATTCTCTCTCCTTTTCGCCTCATGGCTGCGCGGCAAGTTCTTTCTTAAGCTTTTCCCTCTATCGCCGTTTGCATTTCTACGGATTCGATCTTACCGTCTGTTGCGCAGTTCCCCGTTTCGTTGTTCGATTTCTCATGAAATCAGGAAACTCAGCCGGTTCTCGAAGTTGTTCGAAAAAATCGTTCACCGATCGTCACGTAAACTAGATTTTACCGTTAAGTGAAAAACAACAACCGTACTTTGTGTGTTTTATATATTTTTTTGAATATTATTTGCATACATTTATCGTGCAATTCTGCACAAATAAAATTTTCTAGAAATCTACTGTGTACATTTGCAGCAAATATCCTACGATATATTTAGACACTGTTTGCAGATATTGTTTTTTTTAAATTCTAGCAATTTGCATCTCATTACATTTCAGAATGTAACAGATGTAATGCATATACATGAAAGTATTCTATGCTAATGTGAACGATTGCGGCTGATAGCCGATGAAGAAAATTTCGAAAAAACCGCGCGACGCAATCATTTACACCGAGGAATTGAAAGATTGACGTTGTCCACCGACGATATCCGATTAACCTGACCTCAAACAATCGAGGCTCACCTCGACGAACGTACACACGTAGCTAAATAAAGTGTTACAGAATAATTTAGACTGCAATGCAGATTTTCATGCAACCGGCAAATACGAACTGTTTCCGCTCGCGTGCCAAATCCGTAAAATTTCATGACAAGTGTCTATTCGAAATACATGTGTCTGTGTTCGATCGGTCGATACCCGACAATTTGTATTGACTATTTATAATTGAATCAGAGAACTCAAGAATAATTTATGTAATCATAAATTAGAAATTTATAATTTAAACTGTATGCAAACATACAATGCAAAAGTCATTTGAGACAGTGATAGTTATTTCATAATATATATCATGCGGTGCTAGATAGAAGTTTCTTCGTAGTGTTACTTGCCTGTAGTTTTTTCTTAACTCTTTTTTTTAGAAATACATTAAAAATATAAATAAATTAGTTGAAAAGAGATCTTGTTAAAAAAAAAATTTATTGAATTACTTGTTAAGATCCTTGAAAGAATTCTTGCTATCGAAAGAGCAAAATATCATAATTATTTCAAATATCATAATTAATTCTTAACCTTTTTAGTGGCAACTAAATAGCATAATATTTAAATATTTCATAATTAATTCTTAGCCTGAGTCGTGGCAAGGTCTCTTCTTGCCTTTAATGATGGTCAGCTTGTAAAATTTCGGGACTGGGACCTGGCGAGACGACAGAGAAATTTTTCCAGTCAGTTTTCGCTTGAAAATCTATCCATCTATCCATCCATTCTAATCTACGCTTTAGACCAATTTCATATACATTTTATAATATTTTCTAATATATTCACAACACTTATCGCGGATTAAATTGTTCGTTTTTCAAACTTATCGTATCTATTCCACGAATCATTGCGATTCGTTGAAGCAGAGTACCAAGATTCTCGGCATCGGTATATGTGAAATTTTGGTCGGTATTTAATTAAAATTAGTAATTTACTTCCATTTATTTATGATAGAAGAAAAAACCTAAGATTAATTAAAAAAAAAAGAAAGAAAAAAAAGTAAGATTAATTAACACAGCGCCCGATAGTATCGATATGAAAACCAATAATGTCACACGTTCATTGCCTATAACATACATATATTGCGGGAAACGTAAACCCCTATATCATCACGGAAGAGATACATTTCATCTGCAAGATACGTTGATAAATATTGGCACACGATAACTAGTTAAGACCGACTGGAAAATTGCTTCGCGTTTATCATCAATTCCAGTTCAAATTAGGTATCAAAGCATACCGCATGATCCAGTTTCCTCAAACATTGACACATAGCACAATTCCCGTAAAATTTCTATCCTTAGCTCTATGACGAGAATCCAAAACTAATATTTGTCATAACATGTCAGATGTTATGACATCGAGTCAATGACAATAAGTTCGAAGCTGACGAATCGTCGCAAGGACGAATTTTAATACTTCCAAAAAGAGCAAAAAGTGTTACACTAATACTTCCGAAAAGTGTTAGCTAGATTAGACGGTAAATGTCTGCACTGTGTTACAGCTACGTCTATCCGTCCATGGATGAGCTGGCTGAACAGCTACTCTTCGTACTGGGCTATTTTGGCCTGAAATCCGTAATCGGTTTTGGAGTCGGTGCCGGGGCCAACATACTAGCGAGATTCGCACTTGCTCACCCCGAGAAGGTTAATGCACTGTGCTTGATAAACTGCGTGTCGACGCAGGCAGGTTGGATCGAATGGGGCTACCAGAAGCTGAATGTTCGTCACCTGAGGTCACAGGGCATGACTCAGGGCGTATTGGACTATTTGATGTGGCATCACTTTGGCAGGGTGAGTACATACATTTATCTTACGTGGAAATTATTCATGCATATTGAACGACGAGATGCTTTTACTGAGATTCTATATTTTCTTTTCTCGTTTAGATGACTGAATTTTAAGATTATTAATTAATTACGAATTATTTAATTACTAATTAGAAATACTAAGGAAAAAAGATAATTTGTAAATGTTTTTAGGCTCGTCATGTTGCATCTTATTGACAATATTCTACATATCTACTGCACTCTACTCTGTCTCTTTTGTCTATTTTATATTTTATAAAATCGTGCCTCTACATTTCTAAAGACAAAATCATTTCTTTATTTACTGACACACGTATGTTGACAAAATTGTTGTTATCTCAATATGGAAAGACATATCTCTTAACTTCTCTAAATACAAGTCTCAATGAATCATTATAATTATTTATGTATTTTTCGTATTTATTGTATATTTCTGCATCTCTTTTTTTGTAAACTACAATAAACTTAAATTTAATGAAATAGAGACAATAAACTGTAATGTAATTAACGTTGAATTTAATACCGAGTTCAAAAACGGATAATTGCTAGGTTCTTTTACATTATTATTCATCATAGAAATGCCGTAACATTCTGATTAGCAGAAAAATCGATTGAATAAAACTGTCTCAGCGATTGTAATTTATACTGTAGCTTGATATATACGTGTATATATAAGGGAACAGGCAACAGCCTGGATGACCCACAAGTTTTATCAAGGCAAGTTAGTTTAAGCAACGTTCACACGGAAACGTAGGCCGATAAATTATTGACGACTTGGAATCGAGTCTGTCGAAAGCTTAGGCGTCGAGTGTTTCCAAGCAACGCAACGTGGAAAATTAGATTAGAACGTCAGCAGCAATTCCGTTGCTTTTATTATGCAACACGTAGCTTTTTAATGGAGTTACTACAAGTGAAAAAAGAAAAGAAGAAGAAAGTAAAAAAGTCAAGTCAGTTTTATGGTGAGAACGAGAAGAAGAAAAAAAAAACGTATTTTCTATTTCCATTCTATTTTCTACTTCTATTTTCAAAGGAAACGAAAGACTCGACCCTTTTCCTTTCATTTCTTTAATTTCTTTCTACTTCACACTAATGACGAACCCTGACGAGCGTTTTGCTCCTATACGTTAGCCAAAGAAGTTGGACTATAAAAACGGAAACCAAGATATTCGAGGCCTTGGAATTTTTCCAAGGATTATGTCATAGCTGACGAAAGAATCTCGATAATTTTTTGCGAGATCACACATTTATTAGATTAATTGGAAAGTTGTGCGGCCAAGTTTTTCTCGTAGGTGTACTTTGCAGCTTCGTCTGAATTAGCAAAACTGAAAAATTCAACAACGACAGAATGAATAGATTTCTGAATTAAAACAGTCGCAAGTTACGGTGAATACGTACTAATAATAATACTAAAATAGTAATAAAAATATTACTTCAAATTTAAAATTTGTTCCTTCTTCCTCTTCGCAAAACTAAAACGACAGAACTTTCCAATCAATCTAATGACAATATATCACAATTTCAATAAATAATTTCACATTCATGTCTCAAAAAAATAGGCCAAAGACGTGTCAATTGTAAAATTTCTTTCTCGATTCAAGAGATACTTGAAGCTAATTTAATTCATCTAATTTTACACGGAATTCCAGTCGCCAGAGATTCAAGAACTGTTATGTGCGAAACGTGTTTCAGGGCACAGAGGAGAGGAACCACGACCTTGTTCAAGTGTACAAGAACTACTTTGAGCGCCGCGTGAATCCAACAAATCTAGCACTGCTAATCGACAGTTACGTCCGTCGTACGGATCTGAACATCACGAGGGAATTAGATCCAACGCGTAAGAAGGAAGGCCTTACGCTCGGTGTACCTGTAATGAATATCACCGGAGCTTTGAGTCCGCACGTCGACGACACTGTCACGTTAAACGGACGATTAGATCCGATGAATAGCTCTTGGATGAAGGTACGAGGCTCTTGCAACATTAATCACCCTTTGTGCCGAGAGGCTGTACACGTTTCGAGCCGTTTAATTCCGCGAAGAGAGATTTTTTACCGAGTATCTCGTCGCAATTTGAGCGATAACGTTACCTCGATCAACTCCTTCTCTTGCTAATCGCTTTTCGTAAATTACAGTTGATGCGCACGAATGTCGGTGGAAGTTCGAATTAGAAGTACTTTGACATTCTTTGTCGTTTATTCGTTGCATATTTTTGTTGCAACATTGGACGTAACGTGAAGCTATATCGTTAACTAGATAACAACAATTAATCTAATCTAATTTGTCTAATTGGCAGATTTCCGATTGCGGAATGGTACTGGAGGAGCAACCGGGCAAAGTAAGCGAGGCCTTCCGACTATTTCTGCAGGGCGAAGGATATGGTAAGTGAGCGTCCTGGCGAACCACGCTTTAGACATTAATTATCAGATTGTCAAACGATTACTCTCATCGATCTTCATCGGTATAAACGAATCTCGCTCGCGCCACTTCGTAAAAGAGCACGCGACTGTCTCACGAGGATAACAATCGCTCTCATTCATCGATCTGTGAAAATAGAATGAACTAGCAAAAAAAAAAAAAAAAAAAATTCAAGACGACGCTTGGCCTTTGCAACAGACAACAACATTGTCAGTCGAATGACATTTCAGACAATGGATCAGGTGTTAATGATTTCGCAGAGACGTTCGCGTGCTCTCTTACGCAACGAATTACGCGGAAACGAATACACGCAACTATCTTAAATCGTGAATATTCGTAGGCTTAAGTTCGTTCAATCGATTGCTACATTTGACAAGCATTCGATGATTTCTGGCCTATATACGCGTACACTCGAATCCAACACACAGCAAACGTGTTACATACACAGAGAGAAAAAAAAAAAGAAAAAAAAAGAAAAAAAAAGAAACGAAAGGAACGAATTTCGCGACAAGCCGAACAAGATAATTTTTCATCGTGACGTTTTCCGAATCCGTTGGTATGCGATCCGATAACGCTAGTAAATTAAGTCATCCTCGACCACTTTGCCTTGGAACTCGCTAGAGTCGTGCGAAAGTCGGTTTAAGCTGCATTTAGCTGTAGCGAGCAATACGTTGTTTCTATCCCTCACCTTTAAACTAGAAAAACGATTTTATTGCAGGCAACATTTCTCTCTCACACTTAAGCGTTATTTGTCGTGCAAATCATATTCGAAGTAACTTGACATTCGCTAATTTATTATTTACTCTCTACATCTCTACTAAATTCTCTGATCGCTTCATTGGAAATGCATACTGAGCGAGTGCAAAATGCGTTATCGCCCTTGACTGAACGATCAACGCTAAATCCGCGACTAATCTAAAGTTTATTATTCTTTTTGGCTTCTTGGTCACAGAAACACGATAGCACTTATCACATAACACAACGCTTTACTACTACTATCGCCCAGTAAATATACAAAGAAAACAAAAAAGAAAAAACAAAAAAATAGAGGGAAAAAAAAACGGAAAAAAGCGGTGTACTTATCGCGCGAACAGAGTACTTCGTCGATGATAAAACGCCTCGCCTATTCCTCTCAATTATTACCGATCTCTTTTCTCCACCATCGATTATTCGCTTTGAAACAAAGACAATGAATCTATTATTTATTTCACGTGGTAGGTATCTGCGAATATTAGTCAAGTACGCCCAAGTTGTTCTAATTGAATTAATTGTTCCTATCGCGGTGATTATCGTTAATTAATTGTTGTTGTTACGATCGTCTCTGTTATACGAATAGAGTTTTCATGTTGTACGAATGGCGCGATGCCAAGATGTTGTTAACCACCTTGATGCATTAAGGATCGACGACGCATTTAAAAAAAAAAAAAAAAGAAAAAAGAAACAATCAAGTTCTTTTCCGTTTAAAGCATTTCAACAGAATAGTCTGACGAACTATTCTGATCTGTTTTTCGAACGATCTCACCCGCATCCTTACTACATAAGAGACTTAACAACGTCTTCGATCATGTACTTTCCTTCGTTGGAAAGCCACTTGCTCGACTTGATAAATAAAAAGAGGTTTGAAAAAGGATTACGTTGAATTCATCACTTTTAGTCTCACCACCATTTATCATTTATTTGAGAGCTTAAGAAAAAAAAAAAAAGAATAAAAAGAAAAAACAAAATAAAAAAAAAAACATGAAATGATTATCAAAGGCAAATGAGAAAAAAATACATGTTCACCGACTTGCGCCTTTATTTCCCACGCGTCTCGGATCGATCGAGTGGTACGTACATATTAATACCTAGTGCTCAACTGAAGTAGTCAGTAAAGTAGTGTCAGCTTTTTGGCTATTTTGTTTTGCTTCTCAATTACTGCCAGTGCCAAAGATCACGCTATCGTTTAAGTAGTTTAGACAGACGTTACTACGTGTATTGTTCTAAAAGTGTACTTTCATAAGTGTCAGCAAGAATTTACGCTTTCGCTGTTCGAATGGCTCGTTAAGCTGTCATGGACTATTGCATTAGAATTTCCAATCTATTTGACAATTTTTTCTTTCTCTTTTTTTTTTTTTTTTTTGAATAAAGAAACGAATTTCACACTTAGCAATGTAAATAGCCAAAGCGTTTCTTTGCGACTCACGTCCGTTTCTTTTCATCGAACTATCTCCCATTTTTCTCCTTCTCTCTGCACGAAGTAAGATTAAACGTAGACGACTTGATCGATGCTTAATTTTTATTCTTTAACTGTTACGTACACGTATACTTTAAATGTACACGATAAACGGCCTAGCGATGCATTGCACCCAAGAATGAGTCTTTCCAATGAACAGAAAAAAAAAAGAAAAAAAAAAAGAAAGAGACAGTTATGAAAAACTTTCGCTATGGCTACGCTACGTTACGATCTGCTACGTTTTTGTGAATGTTTTTTTAAAAAGAATTTGTGTTTTTTTATGCCTTTTAGTGGTGAGATCCCCGCGGAAGCCCGTGACGCCGACAACACCCGAAGGTAATTGTAATTAGGAATTGAAGGCCGCAAGGAGTCAAGCGCGCAGTTGGTCAGTTAGGCCACGTCTGTACGTTAAGTAAGTCGGAATTCAAACTTTTATCGGGAGGTATTAACCGACGATGGTTAACAATATCTTTGACGATCTCGGGCATATTCTCTCTATTTCTGCCTCTCTTTCCCTTTCTCTCTCTCTCTCTCTCTCTCTCTCTCTCTTTCTCTCGCTCTTTCTCTCTTTCTCTCTGTCTGTGAAGGATTAGCAAAAAGGCAACTAACAACTGTTCATTTTCTTAAACAATGCTAACGCTTTTGAGATGCGGATGTCGTGGGTTTATATGTCTTCGGACTTACTAAACTCTCGTACATTTCATGCGTGACTTTTTACACATCTTTTAGATACATCTTAGAGTCGCCATGCCTCTCGCTGTTTGTTTTCGAGTGAAATGAAATTTTGCATATGTTTTTGCACAATGGATATCAACAGACACTTTCACAGCTTCCTTGAAATATCACATGCGCCAAAAATTACAGCGAGAGGATTAGTTTCAGATTGCATTGCATATTCATACCGTTTATTCAACTAACGAATCTTTATTTGACAATTTTTCTAAAATCTTCATTACGATGAAGATTCATTCGCTAGGATCGCAAAATCATGGTAAAATTTTATCGACCGAGTTCGCTCATTATTTGTTTCTTATCGGTAGTTGGTATAAAGTAGGCTTTATCAATCAACGATAAATCAGACATCTTTCTAGAAACACCCTTCTCTCACTTCCTCGTAGAGATCGTTCTTCTAAACGGAAGTATGCTGTTTTTTGAAATTTTAAAAATTATTTAATCTGTTTTCTTGTAGCTGAGCATTTACTCATGTGGTGGGACATTAACAGATAGTATTTATAAAAACGTGCAACGAAAGAAAAAAGACTCCGCACATACTGGGTAGTAGAATAGCGAACAACAAATTATACCGATTCACATGCCTTGCACATAATAAGACAATCTCACTCTGACATACACGTAATTCTACATTTTTCGTTACTCGTTTTTGCATGCGTGCCTCTCTGTCCGTTCTCTCATTTTTTTTTTTTTTTCTTCATTTCTTTCAATCTCTTTTTTTCGACAATCGAGCTACGCATTCTTTTCTCATTGTCAGATTTTTACGTCCCGATTTTTCTTCCCCCCCTTTATAACGCGATAAGTTTATTTTCTTTCTTAAACGAAACATACGCGTGGGTATTTGCGTATTACAAAATCTCGACACGAGGACAAAGAATGTAATTCAGCACTCCGATTACTCTGACCTGGAATTTTCGTTTATTTTTCTTTACAGTGGCACCGCTATCACCACTAAAAATGGCTGACTACAGGCTGGCTTCCCTCGAAGGACTGAATCACGTATGCAGTAAGAAAATCGACTGGCCCACCGCCACTATACACATCACCGAGAATCCCATATCGGAGGCAGTCGTTTGTTAAATTCCTCTCGAGAAATCTCGCAATTTGCCATCGTTTGTTTTTTCGTACGACAAAGCATGCAAGAATTTAAAAGAAAAAGAAGAAAAAAAAAAGAAAGAAGGAAGAAACAAAACCACGCAAATTGATTTCTTTTCTTTTTTTTTCTTTTTCTTTTTTTTTTTTTTAACGATCGACGTGGTTCTAATTTCTAATTTTCGTTTGTCAAACTAACATCGATTATTCGATATTGTTAGTTTTAAGCGTATTTCTAGTTTGATTTGATTTGTTTTAAGTTTGCTCTGCGTCCATTTTATTTATAATAATGTTAAGATATTTACGAATATTTCCGATGGTACAAGACATTTTGTAGCGATCATCATGCACGTTTCTTTTGTTTATTATGTATTAGCGATAGAACAAGTTAGTCGATAATCTCTATTTTAAATGCAACAAGAATTTTATCGTTACTACCGTTATTACACACCGTTGGCACTGGTTATCGTTTATGAGATTTTTAAACGTTCGGTATAATTCGGAATTAAATGGCGGATTCACTTAAAAAAAAAAGAAAAAAAGAAAAAAAAGAAAAATAAGAGAACAAACATTTTTCGCGAACACACACACAACGTGACGATTTTTACTGTTGTAATCATACGAGATCTTTGTTCAGCGGAACAACGTGTATTTTTTTAAAGTTTCAACGAATGTAAAACCGGCCGTTTTACCGACGGTCGTTTTTAATAAGACGGATTTGAAATTAGGAATATGGCGCATCGAAATCCAACAACCATTGCATTCATCTACTCGCAATTACGATTCTCGTACAACGTCAGAAACAACGAAATCATGATTTTATTTAACTGCGACTTTTACGAGGAAGCAGAATGAAAAGAGAACAAAAAGAAAAGAGAGAGAAAAATATAAGGAAGCAAATATTACAATGATGAACCAAGCAAAAGAAGATCAAGGTATTCATTAAAACGCGCGTGAAAGAAGGAAAAGGTTACGTATATACGTATCGTTTAATGATGGAACGATTACGATCGATGATTCTAAAAATACTAATAATTATTCAAAACTATGTGCAAACAAAAAAAAAAAAAAAATCGAATCGCATTTAAAAACGAACATGTGTGGTAGCACTGCATCGTAGAAAAACGCGCACTGTTGCTTTTCGTGTTCATAAGGAGAGGTGAGAAAAAAATGACTGGTAGGTGCAGAATCAAGGGAGTCAAGTTCGTGGAAAGAGCATTACGCGCAATTTCAGCAGAAGCTCTCGAGTTTATCCAGAGGGACCGACAGATAGCAAAATGCGTGATGTCTTTTTATAAATTTGAACCCGTCCAGCCGCGCCTACTGAAAAGTTTTCGCAAATTGCGAGTATGTATCGTCGAGTCTCGTCGTCGCTTGTGTGCATCCTAATCGAACACGACGAGCTGGCTTTATTACTCGCGACAAATCGACGCTATTCGATCGATAAGACACGTTACACGATCACGAGCAGACTCGAATGTGTCGCTGACACGAACGCGCGAGGTAACAAAGGTAGGTATATTGACAGATTAGACAAGCGCCGAAATATCTTCGATTACGTCGCTTGTTCGTCGCCCACCGAATGCTTTCCATGTGTTGGATAGCCAAAAAAAAAAAAAAAAGAAAAAAGAAAAAAAAGAAAAAAAACAAAGCCTAAAGCAATTGGTCGCGTCGAGTGATCATCCGTGTTCTCTCGATAAGAATTCTCGTAGGCCTGCACGTGTGATATGTGCTTCGTGTTAAAACAGGGAAACCCCGTCCGAGGATATTCGCGCGTTAAAACGTCCTCGAACGGCAAAATCCCATGGATATAAGTAACGTTTCACTTGCCCGGCAGCGGAAGGAACGTTCGTTCATTTGTTTGCGCTCGCGCACCGTTCGCACCCTTTCCTTAGTTTCAAGCGTTTAGGGAATACATTAGGAGGGAGGATGTGTGCATGTATGCAAGTGTGTGCACGTGAAACCAGAGAAAAAGAGGAAACGAACGTACGAGAGCATGCGTCCGCGTGATACACATAGGAACGAGGATACATAATCGTTTGAAAAAGAAAAAAAGAAAAATAAAGAACGCAAAAAAATTAAAAACAAAAAAAAAAGAAAGGAGTATCTGGTTCGGTACCTCAATACGGTTCTACCAGGCTTCTTAAAGCCTTTAGCGTGATATGATAAGACGTGCCTGCTACATGATGTCGTACGTAGCTTTCGAAAGTTTCAACGCCTTTAGTTTTGTAACACATATTACGATTCCCGTACGTCCCGGATTTTCCCCAATTTTCGCGCGTCCTTTTAGAACGAGAGCAATACGCTACATTCATGGTAATAATCGCCACTGGAAATTCCACTGAACTCTCTGGTTAGAGCAGACGCTTGACATTTTTTACATACCTTACACTTCAAACGAGTGAAACTTATGCCAAATCGTTTCATGAATTTCCTTAATAAGTTGTAGGAAAATTATCTTTGTCTACAGAGAACTGTACAAAAATGAGACGAGAAAAATGAAGAATGACAGAATTTCTTTGAAACTCCAAAGTCCTAATTTTTGTAGTACGGCATTTACGACCATCAATGGCGTGTACTGTGCACGTCGAGAGGATACGGTTTCTCGATCGACGAAGAAAATAACAGAAAGACACAATAACCGTATTTCAGTCAGGAAAATCACAAACGAAGGAGATGCGCGAAAACACGACGAAAGTCGAAACGATGGACGTATCGAGGGACAAAAGGTTTAATCGTTTCGTGTAAAAGAGAGTTTATAAATAAAAGAACGAGTATATTCTAGATGTATACCTATGGCGCGTTATTTAGGCTGGCGAATTGAAGACAGATCAGTAGTTAAACAGCTTAGTATTAGAACTTTGAGGCTCGATTCTTCGAGAGGATTGAGAAAATCCAAAAAAAAAAAAAGGTATGCACGCATTAATCATTGCTAAAAAAAAAAAAAAAAGAAAAACGCGAGCGCTATAAAAAATTACTGTAGCTTCTAAGGACCACCGGACACATTACCATTAATCCCTTCGTTTCCACGTCGCTCTTGGAGCTGCATTATAGAAACATTCAAGAAAGGATTAGATCCATTAAAAACGTTCGAGTCCCACAACAACGTTTTCCCATTAATTGTATTTGATTGAACATATCGTGGAAAAGTGTGATATCACTGCGCATTGTACAACCGTTCAACGAGATCTAATCTTAATGTTTGATCTTTCATTGAAAATGTTCACGAGACGCATATCATTAGTACGAATTAATTTACGAATTATATTATATTCGTTATGATCAAATGGGAAAAAGAAAGAAAAGAAAAAAAAAGAGAATGATAAATTATTGATAATCCGAGAATTCTATCGTATCTGCACTTTAATTGAAAATGCTATGACGATGATTGAATATCTATAACGCTCGAAGGGGATGCGAAACTGACATGGTTGTTGGTTACGAAGGGTTTAAAGAGAAAAATTCATTTGCACACAATCAATCACAAAAAAAAAAAAAAAAGAAAAAATCGGTATCAAAACGCCACTACAATCTCGTGGGAGGATAACGATATTTTTCCTTGAGGTGCTACGTGGAGTTCTTGCCTCCGAAAGCAAATTTCCAAAAAAATTCCTCGCGCCGTATCATCAGATAGATTGTAGCGGAAATAAAATATATTATTGACAACAACTCAAAGTAAAACAAGGTATAGTACAGTAAGCGAAATAAACTTAGACGGAGCTTGAGTATATATATATAAATATACAGATTAAACAACACGTTCGCACCGAATATACATCTTGTTATTTATAATAAACGAATATAAAAAGAAAGAAACGGAAACTTTTTTTATCCATTCCAAAACCAAATTAATCTTTCCCAATTATAAACATTTGTAGAATTAAATAAAAATCTGAACTTTCATTTAATTTGTTATTCTCTGTATAGAAAATTTATTTATTTATTTCATTTTTTGTTTTGAGATTTATTATTTACTTTAATAGAATATTAACAAAACTAATTTCTATTGAAATCAAATATAAAGTAGAAAATTCTTCAAATAAACCACGAAGAATGCTTGGTATATTTGTAACATTAATAAGAAAACAAGCTGTAAATATTCGCAACACTATGAAAATCCATTGCAGTCGTTGAAAACTACAATTATCTCTGTAAGTATATCTTCAACTGCACTAGGTAATTCAAAAATATATTTTCACGATCTCAGTAGAAAGAGCATTTTAAAACGCAATTTAAAAAAAATAAAATCATTTATCAACGTAGTATTAAATGAAAAAATAACTAGTTCTATACTATCATAATTAACTTTATGACATTATTATTATTGTAATCAATTTACTGCAATGTGTGTAACATTAAAAAACGCAATAGACAAGAAAATCTATATTAAATTAATAAATAAAAAACAGCTATAAAAACTATTGACGAGTATAATAAATAGTTATTATGCTCGTCAAATGTAATACAACCAGTCACCTATGTCGATTTGGATCTTTCATCCTACGACATTAAGTAACTAGAGGGACAAAAATGCAAAAACTCACGATTAGATACGAAGAAAGTGGATGTAATTGTAGTCCTTTGGAAGTCCTGAAGTCCATCATCAAATATGAAAGAAGTAAAGGTAGGAAGAAATCCTGTACAAAAGAAATGAATTATTTAAAAATAATCAAGGCTCAATGTCGTTTTGAAAGCTTATAATACTAGGTACCAGTACGTACCACAACAATGATTAAAGAAAGAAAAATAATTTAATTATAAATTGTTGTAATGTAACATTCGATAAATATTTATTGTCGAATATAACATTCGATAAATATTTAAGTAAGATAGTACGTTAATTAAAAAGATGTTAAGAATCGTGGATATGAAAAGATGATGTTCGAAATATACAGTTAATGTATCAGGCATGTGATACGTCTTAACACTACGATTTTCAATAATAGACTAACCCCTCGCGCAACAGGTTCGCATCGTTAGCTACTTGGGGAAGTCATAGTCGAGTGTTTTGGAAAAGCATATTCAAGCATTCGGAGAATTTATAGAAAAACAAAGTTTTTGAGAGAATGTTTTAATCATACGTAGATTTAAATATAAATATCCACGTATATTTACACATGTCATTTTGGTAAAAGAATTTATTTCATTAGAATTCATATTTTAATAAAATAAAATTTATTAAATTATATGATTACATCAGAATTGATCCCGAAACATACCTATTCTATATACATATATATAGTATATATAGGCTTAGATAATAAAAACTCAAGAAATCTAAGAAAAATAAAGAAGAAAATATTTTCTTCATTATATTCGTTTTCGACTGATATTCAATAAACTAACGAAAAAGAAGTTTTTAAGGGTTATTATAAAAGAGAAGCAATTTTTAAATCAATCGTTGACTCAATCGTGAAAAAAATTTCTCAATGCTTTAACATATCATGACAAGTTATAGCATTTTTGAGAAGAAAAGTGTCTTCATTTTGCTTCATTCTGTTATATAATGTAAAACATCTTAAAATAAAATAAACGATGCATTTTAAAAGCTTTAAAATGAATGCATGTTTATTATTGTACGATTGTTTTTTACAAAATTATAACAGTTTCAATACTTAGTGTCCGAATATTAATGGAAGTCATCAGATTTACAGAATGCAGCACCTTACGTCAATCAGAAAGAGCAACGTAATTCCTTTTTACTTGTAAAATTATGAAGATCAATGAGTAAGATTTCTATAATTGATGAAGGAATATTTCTATAACATTTGTACAAAGATAACTGGAAAATCATTTTTTAAGTTATCATATCTATTTTGATAGCTAATGTTAAAATACATAGTATTAATATGTTATTAAAGTATAATTTTTAAATTATTGTTTAAAAAGTACATCGTTACTACATAAATTCAATGTAGAAAAATTAATATAAAATATTTTATATCGATGCACAAAAACAAAAATATTTTTACATGCACACATGCCCTCAGCTACCGTCATACATCTTTGACAATAAACATATCTCGTCTTGTTTCTTTCACACAAGAAAAAACTGTCAAAAGAACACACATTATGGATCCCGGATCTCATCTGGGAACCAGTGCGTCAGAAGGATCTGATGTGACAATTTAAAATAAGAAAAAAAAATTTTAGGAAATAATCCCAACAAAGATTACATATCAAGATATCATACCAAGATTACAATAAGTTGCATTGAAATTATTTGTAACAAATGTGTGAATAGTAATACTTCTATGACTATACATGACAATTAAAGTTTTTGAAAATGTTTACGTACGCGAATTTCAATTGTTACAATTTTATTGCATACAGATGTTCAACTGTCAATATCTCCTTACTTGCATCGCATCACTGTACGATTATGTAGCACGTACATCAGTAAAAACTTGCTACGACAAGGATAAGGGTACTTTAATTGTACTTACTGGTTGAAAGATATCGGACGAATAAAAACTCCCTTCGATTTACAATCTCTATTCTTCTTTTTTCATTAAAATCGTGTGAAGAACATATTTTGTTCCTCCTCTCTCGAGCATCTCTCGGTTATATATTTCTAACTAGGATTATAATTCAAATTAGTCATTAAATTTGCAATTTTCAATATTTAAGATCGTTGTTTATAAATTTAAACAATAAAATCTGTACCTTTATTATTAATTTATGTATAAAACACGCACAACACATCTCGTAACCGTTTATTTGGATTCAGTGCTGCCAAACATTACATGTTAAACTATATATCGATTTTTAGATCTCGATATATATACCCCTCAAAGGTACCACCTGAAAAAATGTATATATTTCTACAGATTAATACGTGCAGCAAATTATTAACAAATATGTTGTGCATAATAAAAAATTAAAAAACTTTTTCTTTTATTTCTGATAAAAAATATAAATATATTGCTCGTCAATATTTTTAATATCGTTTATTGTATCGATATACATCGATATGTTGAGCGTATTTAATATTACAAGTATACGAGGTATACATTTAAAGTAATTTGTTATCATTTATTTTCATAAACTTAATCGTTAGAAAAATCGATAATTGTATTTTCTCTTTTCACCGTTGCTCACCGCAATTTTTCTGTACTAAGTTTTCTCGTGGGTACAAAATTGCATGTACGCACGTACTCTAGGTACGTGCCTCGGCGACGAGAAACCAGTCTCCCGATGATTTTTGCAACGATCAAACGACTACTGTCTTCAAGGAATCGACAGGGCCGTATATGCCGACATGTCTTACCTGGTTCAGTGGACAATGACCTGATGCATTTTAAACCTCAGCTAACGCTCTACGATGTAAACAATTTTTGATCAAATCTGCACATTCTTTCGTATCTGCAATTAACTTCACAATATCACATCGTTATTAACAATCGATATAAGATAATACAATAATCGACGTAAGATTTGTGCAAACACTCACAATATGGTCTGTCGAAATGTTGTTATTTATTTGACAATTTGACATTATCATTTAAAAAAATCAGTATTTATATCCAATGTATGCTGTCGTGCCGCTTGTCGCTTCGTTGATCATCGGCGATGTTCGTGAACGTCCGTCGGGCCCCAATCTTACCGCCACCTGTCGGCGTTGTACAGAATCACGACTCGTCTTTGACAAGGCGCGCGTATTCTTGACTCGGCCAGCGTGGGAGTAAGGCTGTCCACCGAGAGACGCCTGGGAAGGTGGTCGATTAAGCGCCTTCTTACAGTGACCCCAAGTTTTTCGTACACGGCCGCGAGATTTTGTCGAATGGTCGTTTTGATAAATGCGTGTTTTCATCGAATAAGTCGCGAGTGAGTACGCATTCGAGTCAGTGGAATCGCGGTAACTCTGTCACAGAGAGTTCAAGAAATCATTCTTTCCTCGCATATAACCGGCATTATTACAAAACAAGTCGTATGCGCACGCATGCGTACGAAACGTTTGGATTCGTGGTTCGAAATTTTTCATGCTTCTTGGCTCCATTCAAATGAGTAGCTTGAATTGAGGAATACTCGCAAAACTGAAACGAAATATCTGTAATACGATGTAGACTCTTGACTCATTTCAAGTGTGTTGACATATAGACCCAACGAGGGAATTCCTGGAAACGATGGAAGTTTAATCCACGTGATAATAAACAAACAAACTTGTTACGACTCGCTCCTGTGACTTGGTTCTCAGTGTGAAATTACTTACCATCGCGCTGTTGTCGCTAATCGTTCAGGGAGCATTCAGAAAAATTCGGAGTGATATATAGTGCGGTATTGTTAAGTGTACAGTGCTGGTGTAGTGGATATGCGTCGACCTTTATTGTGAAGGTGCCTGAGGAATTCTTCCTGGATTGAAAGGCCTGGATAAAAGATGGGACCGGTCAAGATCCTCGGGGTTTGCATCTTTCTCCTGTTGCTGTACGTCGTAAGGGCCGATGTCATCGAAGAAAGAGGTATGTCGATTATTTATTTTTCTTCGAATCGGGGAAACACGCGAAATTTTGGAGGAAGATATTATCGTATTAAATAATGGGCGAGCATTTCTTATTGAAAGAATTTTGAAGCACGAATGTGTATTATTTGGTTGGTACACGTGACTGTTACTAATGGCGGGCAATTTCGATTCGTTTCAAAATAAATATTTCGTAAATTTATAAAATAGTAGTTGAGTAATGTTTAATGATAATATCTTTATTTGCGTAATTTACGTATTGTGTAATTATTTAATCGTATGAGCTTCCTGAGTAGCATGTCAATTATTTTCCATGTATATATATAAATACATATAAATACAAATACACATGTCATATCGTCTAATGAATAAAATATGACACAATGATCACAGTTTGATTCATAGTTATGCATTGGAATTTCTAGATGAAAAGTGCTAGATGAAAAGTCATTTGTATTTCTTTTTATCAAGGTTATTATTGAAATTTATTGATATATAAAATAATATTACTTAAAATAACTCAAAATTGATGTTTGAAAAAATTTGTGTATCATCTGTGTATCAACAAGAATCTTTGATTTACTGCAACTTTCATGAGATTAAAAACGAATCGACCAAATGTATAACATATTTTCAAATTTTCACCAATCGGAGTTGTCACCTGCAGATTTCACTTGAAATCGCCTTATCAAACATAAAGGAAAACGAGCATTATCTTAAGCAAATAAGCAAATGAGAAGTCTATAGTAGAAATATATAATCGTAATTTTCTTCCTGTGCTCCAATTTCTTTGCTTTGTTGCTCCACATATTTGAATCAACGAAAAACACGTCTTTCTTGTTTGATGATTAAAATGCTAACGAGGCAACGGAGTGGACGTTTTGCTTCTCTCTTTGGTAAAGCGTATTGTAATTAATGCATCGACCGTTTAACGACCACAGATTCTTTCACTTTTCGTCATGTGGCCGCTGTCTACACCACAAGTTAAATATATCTTGTTAAATAGCTAATTAAGCCTTAATAAGATCGGTTCACCCAGAGCGCTCGGCCGAGAATGAGGCCAATGGTACAACGTGTCTCGTTTGGAACTTTTGTTGAACCGTGAATACCATTCCTTAAGAATCGCGAGCTATTGCCAGGTGCTTTCTCGCAACGCGCTTCTTTCGTCATTTCAAACGATCCATTTGCAATCCGCTCGTACAAGCCCGATGACTACACGTAGGTTTAATCGAGAATCAATTCTCGAAATGACGCGCATGAACGTATTATCAATACGTCACCGATTTCGCTCATTGCGGCGCTCGATTAGATTCGTTCGTCATGTTTGCAGATACAATTACTATTTTATTTCTTCCTTGCGATATCGCATCGTTAACTTTTATGTTTGTTTTATTCAAGCGTGTAATCGTATCGAAGATTTAATAGTAGTAGAACAGATCGTATATACGGTGATTTATCTTCTGATCGATCTTTGTCTTCCTCGACACTCCATTATACCGTTTAATCGACGGTGTCGTTGAAGATGGTCAGATAAAAGAACCACGTCGAAATCGTACACAGGCGACGTACCAAATATGGCGAGGAAATGACAGAATCGAACATCATGCGCCGATTCTTCATTGAATTCTTCGGCGGAGTATCGGCTGAGTGAAAAAGCCGTGGCAACCTGCGGAAGAGGCAAGAACGCGTTCCCTCGCGTTCTTGACGCAACGTCTCTCCTCTCTTTTCTCTCTTTAGCACGCGAAGGAAAGACATAGAGGAGCGGCGGCCAGCCAACCATGAAGTTGAGACTCGAATCGAACGCTACAATTTCGCGGTAGCTATGAAATGATCGGGACGTGAATCAGAGATATGTAACTGATCTTGGGACGATCGAGGGTACTCCGTTCCCCGTCGAACGCAAAAGTAAAGTCGAAATAATAAAAGTAATTCGTTATGCTCGTAAACATAACGTCCTTTCTTTTGTCTTGATCGATACATCAATTTAAAGTCACACATTTTTTTTTTTCACGAATATATTAGAATCGATGACTGTTTGAACAGTCGGACGAGCAATTATTAATTAAACTGTTACAATAGTCGCTGATTAGTGCTTCGTTCTTGCTACTCGATTGATCAAGCGAATGTTATTTTAATTAAGAATTATTCGTCTGGAAACTCTATACGAACGTGACGAATATCCTTTCACTGGATATTATTAATTCATGTTCCAAGCAATTTTTCTCTCTCCTTTGAGTTATTAGTACGACTCGTAGTTGTTGAACTCGTTTACACGGAATTTTTTCACATATCTCCATGGAGGATAATTATTCCGACAAACGTCAGCCGCGAATGAGATCGTCGGATGGAAAATTAGTACGGGATAGTCCATGACGTTCCCACGAATTGATAACGAGTCGCGTGGATGCAAGGGAACGAGTTCGGGTCAACACCACTTGAACCGATGTCGATGACGACGATCGCAACCGATGACGCATCACCTCGCGAATCATCTTGCGCGATGATGTTTCCAAGTGATTTGACCATCGTGATGCCTGTCTTCTTATTTGCGTCAAGGTTTTATGTCTTGCTTCGCTCCTTGTTGTATTATTTCGGACAAATAATATTTCCATTAAAAGTTATGGAAATTTGAAGATTTTATTATATACACAAGGAATAATTTTTTACGTCAGAACAACCAAATATAGAAATTCTTATGGGTGTATGCATTTCGTGAGAACATGCGTCCGTAACCATGTAGATCATTAGATTAATTTTAGTATAGAGATGTTCTAGTTCTTTCAACTGCTTCTAATAATAGAAATGAATGAAATATTATTTATCTATATACCATATTATTATATTAAAAATGTAATTTCACATATTCGATAACTTAAGCTCAACTATTCTTGTACGTAAAAGGTTTTCAATTTGTCCAATTGCGTTCCATGGCTTTCTGATCCAAACTTTTGGAATTAATTTGGTTTGTATTAGTCTGTATATCGTTTCTTAAAAATAGTACCTAACGTTCTTGACTTACCGTGAATGAACTTTAGCATCATTGGATGTTCAACAATTGAGCTATCTCTGCTGGTGCTGTGGCGGCAGCAGAAGCAATCAGGGTCGAGCGACAATGCATTCACCTCGTGCATCGACCACGCTTTACTTAGTACATTGTCTCGCGTTCTAACGATATACTTATTTCTCTATGTTACTTCGTGCTAGCCAAGCCGCATTTCCGCTATACACAACCGTCGTAATCGTTTCGTAACGAAGATTACCGCAAACATACAACGCTGCCTTACCAACTTTCGTTGCTAGCAACAACGTGAAAATAATTCCGACGTCTAAAATATTAACCTCTATCTTAACCAAAAAAAAAAAAAAATCGTAATGATTCTTCGAAATATTTTACGATAAAAACGATTGAGAATAACTGAAAGAATTTAGGCGATGGGTATACGGAAAGTCATGATTGGTAAGCGATGTAAAAGTAATGTGTTAATTAGAAAGTAGCGTAAAGTTGATATTCGGAATCAGTGAGAACAGAACTATCAATCTCTATGATAGGAACCTCGCACCCACGTGTCTGGTACATCAAGAAAGAGACCGAACTAACGTAGTTCAATTACAAGGAACGCATTCACAGCTGGTTGTAGACACGAGCCTAAGTGTACCGGGCTTAACCGTAATTGTTTAATGGGCTAATGAAATGATATACCCGCCGAATCTAAGCGCGCACAAAAAGCCAATTGTGCTCCACCGACATTCCACGATTATTCTGACTTCATACCACACTCTCTCTATGAATACTTTATATAGTTCGGTGCTATTTCAACTGACGAACTATGTTGCGTGTAACTATTTCAACGTTAAGTAATTTTTATGGAAAATTTTACGTTCGTTGTACGAAGAATCATACGCTGTTTAATATTTTAATAGTTTGGAGTAATTTTACGAAGCAATATTACTCTTTCAAATCGAAATATTCTTTGATTGTTATTTGAAGTATAAAGCTGTGAGAATATTGCTATAGAGCAAGATGGTAATTTTCATTCATGTGTTCGAATTTTAACGATGTGCAAAAAAAAACTATTTTACTACCACG